GAGAAAATTTAAAAAAAAGATCTGCATTTCAAGTAATTTACTATTGTTTTTAAAACTTTAATGGAGGGTATCTCAAATTTTTATTAAGCAAAGTGGGTATGGTTTCTAAGCCAAAAATGTTCTACATAAGGAATTAAATATAATAGTGATACTAACTCAAAATTGCTTTTTTCACAACATGGTCCGTTTCTATTGTCCACACCCCATATATATATTTGGATAAAATTCTGCCCTTGATGATCTTCAAAACCATGTGACTAAATTTTTTTATTGCATTTTTTGATTGGAATATTTTTTCACAAAATTGGCATCATGGCACAAAAAGTTCAGCAACTAAGTGAAAAGATTTTCAGAAATCCATCCTAATGGAAATTTTTATGGTAAAATTTAATAATAAATTGAATAACTTTAAACCATGATAACTTTTTTTTTTTCATAATAAAATTATACAAAATTTTTTATGGTTTTATTGCTAGATTCTTCTATAATAAATCTATATAGAGCCTTTTGACATATCTCATTTGGTTATAAAGTTTTCTATTAGCAAACTTTTTTCAATTTCTTTACATATATAAAAAAATTTTTTTTTATTTGGCAAGAAAAAAACTCTATAAACTAAAAGTTTGATCTATTTACTATAATTTCCCTTAGTTTCATGTTTGTATCTCTTTATTTGAAGGCCCTGATACAATTTTTATTTTTATAGTTTTTTATATATATTTTGTTTTTAAAAAAAAAAGTTTGTTGTTGATTGCCATTATGTTACATCACCTAATTTTGATTTAATTAGGGTATCACACACCCCAATATTATATGTGTATTGACTTTCCTACAACAGAAAGACAATATTACTGAAGACAAGATAAAAGAGAATATGCAAACTTTGAAGACAAAGCTCATTGTAAGTTTTAGAAATAATCATCAACTCTTTGAATCAAAACTCATCTGAAATTTATTTTTATGCATCTTTTTTTTTCAGAGTAGTAAGTCTTATTATGCACCCAATTTACAAAGAAAATTAGATGATATTGAAGCTTCTGACCTTTCATGGGGGATCTGCTTGGAAGCTGTGTACTTTGGTGTTAGTCACCATCTGTGTTGAAGAATATTATTCAAGTCAAAATGTATTATTAGGAACCTGTGAGGCATATGGAGGTGTCCATAAAAAAGATGTGTATTAATTTCGTGAAATACTACAACTATGATAGTGCCAAGGTTTCACTTTTCAAACTTACACATGATATGAGTTGGAAGGAAAGAGTTGATACACTCCATGGAGTTATGAAGAGGATTTTAAACACATTGTAAATGTTTGCTAAGCTCATATGATTTCTTGTGGGTCAAAAACTACATGTATAACTATTTTCATTTTATAGGGAAGAAGTCTGGGATAATTCAAGAAATTTGCCAGTTCACAAAGCAAGGGGACGTATGTAGCTGATATCATAGTCCCTGTTATTTGGGCCACATTGAAAGGCCTTCCATTTAGGAAATCTGTTTTTGTCAGCACGTGAGTATAATTGTTCTCAATTTTTTTAAGAAAAAAATATTCTTACTTGCATGTTTAATATCTACACAGTGCAGAAAAGTATTGCTAATAAAGATCGGAGGGGAAAGAGGGGAAAGTAACCAGATGTGATGTTTTTGGTAAAACATACAAGAATAATATTTGAACTCTTGTATTCCGAATGCTCACGTCTGGTCTGTAATGATGATAAAGAAATAAATGATTGGGCGAAGTTGTAGCGGGAATTAAATGATGGAATGCATTGGACTCATAAGGGTTGTATAATAGATGAAGGTGATTTTGGCATTGTTGGAATCCAAGTTGCTGGAAAGATGCTTCATTTATTTATTCTTATTCGAGGTGAAGATGAATTTCATCGTTTATACTGCTTATGCTCAGTTGAAATTCCAATACAACATACTGTGAAAACTGAAAAGCTGGTTGAGTTTGTGGAAGTATTGTTATTATTATAGGTATATTCACTAAAAAATCTATGCTGTTCTGTTTTATAACTTATCTAAGTTTACTTGTATCATACAGAATACTATCATTAAAGACTAGTGCCGTAAATTATGATGATGGTAGTAATTGTATTTACGGCATATAAAAAGTGGTTGCAATTACTTTTGCAACCACTTTTGCAACCATACTTTTTCCTTTTTTGGATTACGGCACTAGTCTTTAAGCCATATGGTATTTACAACACCCTGTACAACTTTTGGGAAAATATCAAATGAAAAGAAGATATCTCTGCTTCTTTTTGATGAATTTGGGAAGTTCTTCATGACAAGACAAATCATTAGTCTAAAAAAATACCTGTTGATGGCCACTACTGGTGTTGTATTGGTGGAAAGACCATACACTTATTCTTGAAAGATACAAGACTGAGCTACAGAAATCAATGCCATTATAATAAATGAAATATCTATGGTGGATAATGATCTGCCCACCTTCATCATCAATACCTTCTCCTGGGTTCACAATAATAACTCAACACATATAACACCCTTGATCTGTTTCTTTTTGGTATTGATATGTTGACATTAATGTAGCTCACATTAACCAATACTTTTTTTTCTAGAACTTGCTTTCAATATCAGAATCATTATGTTAAAAAAAAAATCATTTAGATCAATTTATAAGAATCTAATTTTTATTTTTTAATTAAATATTTTTTACCATTATGTATTTGTAATTGAATTTTTATCATTGTAGAAAAATTCTATTTCCTGAGTATCCTGTTCAATTTTTTGTTGTATCAACAAAAATAATTAGTAGTGATCAGTGGGGTGCATATTACTACTTTATACAAAACCAATATCATATTTTTTTCTATTAAGTGCTTGTTGCCAAAGGACTTTGTTAGTAGGATACTGACATTTAATTTGAATATTGTAATAATATCTCACAAATAAAATTCAAAGTTCACCTCGTTTCTGCTAGTTTCTATTTGTAAATTTGTAATGCAAATTCTTGTTTGAATTATTTATAATACACACAACTTGAACTTAATTCAAATTATTTGTTTTATTCGAATAGAAGCCCTAGTTCTGGCCAAGTGCAAGATTTTCTTTCCAGCTGCACTTGTACTATTATTGCAGGCGAGTTCTGGTCAAGTGTCTCAGTTTTCTTTTCAGCTTCATATGCTCTAAAAAAATAGAAATATACTATTTGAGGCATCACTATGTAAAATCAAAAGAGTTATAACTAATAGTTAAAGATTGGCTGAACCATTAATCACCAGAAAGGATTATGAATCAACTACACCAGCTTTATTAATTAATTACAGGTTTTATTATCAAATTATCAAATGCATATTGTTAAAAAATTGAAGGAAATTTTTAAGTGTATTTATACTTCTTGAAGTATTACAAGCAACATGACTTTTTACATGATTTTGTCCAACAAAATATAATAAATAGAATGATTAATAATGAATGACTAATATTAATTACTAATGTTAAATGCCAAAATGCATCATTGATGTTGTCATGATATAAAATACAACAATTGGGATCCAAGCTGAGCCTCAATTTACTATTACTATCTTGTATGGCATTTATTTGGGTCATATATATTATAATTTTGCATATTCTCTCAAGTAAGCTGTGCTAAAGTCAGCTTTCTCTTTTGAAATTCTCTCCGACATTAGGAAGTTTTTTCCTACATAGGATTTACAGTCAAACCTTGTCACAACAGAACTCACCACAGTGGGATTTCTTGTTACAATGGCATAACAGATTTTATTAATAAACTTGTTCCAGATTTTTTGATGGGACCTTCCTATATAGCTACTAGTCTCATCACAGCAGATCCATGTGACATATAAAATGAAATTTATAAATAAATGTACAATTCATGTATTAATAAAAATTCCCAAGTTTCTATATAGTAAGATTTCGATAGTCTGGAACCACTGCAGAAATAGCAAGATATTTTATATATAAAATCAAAACAAATGTTATTGGTTAAATCATGTAAGTATTCATTGAAAAAATAAAAAAAAGGTTTTTGTTTCTTTTATATGAAGAAAACTTGTGAAAGCTTTATTAAATTTTCATACAACTTTCAAAACTATGTATAATGTGTATTTTTAACTGCTTTACAAGCCTACCAAAAAAATATTCAATAGTAATCATAAAGTTACCAGAAAAATGAGTGCCCAGGTTTAACATTCAAAATCTACCACGCCTCTAAAGTTATTGATTTGAAATTCTGCAATTTTAATCATTGTCACGTGTGACATTTTATTTAAAAAAAATTTATTATTATTAAAAAATGAATAAATATTATTTTGATTAATTCACTCTGATGATTTATTAAAAGATAATAGAAATTCTTATATAAATTATATATGTCATTGTTCTCTCTCTTTCCCTTTCCCTTTCCCTTTCCCTTTCCCTTTCCCCCCTCCCCCCTTCTTCTTTGGAAAACAAGATTGGGCTCCTCTGGTATAATCTACTTTTTTTTTGTTTCTTAAATCATCAGAACTTGGATTTTTGTATATTATGTGATACAGGTGATTGCTTCTCAATTGAATTTCTTGATGAGTTTCCAATTAAAGGTTTTGGAGGAAGTGGTCTGATTCTATTCCAGTTAAGGGAAAATAACAGATATAATCATTTAGATAATCACTATCCCATTGATGGTTCATAACTTTTTTTGCATTATTTTTAACCAGTATACTTCACATTTTGGTTTTTGAATTAACAAATATTCTAACAATATCTTTCTGCTATATTTTCTGCAGTCTTTCTTTTATCATCATCTTTGATATAAGGATATACTGCCATCAATTGATTGAGTTCTAGTGCTGCGGATGATATGAATGTACATTTTTATTTTCATTTTCCTAAATCTCTGAAAATCCAAATTCACACAATATACCATAAACTTGTTGATATATTTTTGTTGAAATAGCATCAACCATATTATTATCTTGCTTAAAACGACTATTGTAAAATTTATCAAGTAAATCTATTAATTTATTTGTATAATATATAGTATATTTTACTTGATCATTAGGATCATTATCATCTTTAATTTCAAGATAATCATTTACAAATTTAAAACCATTTTCCAAAACATAACATTGTAAACTGCAATTTTATCTGTTAGATTTTGAGTATCTAAATTATATTTTCCATGTAATACTTGAATTTTATCATTATCAATTTTTATATCACCTTTTAAAGTAGTAACACACTCCTTAACTTTACACTGTAAAGAATTTATATCAGTTGAAAGTTGAACTGTGTCCTCACTTGAACAATTATTTGACAGACCATCACCTAAAATAGGCTGATTAAATAAATTTATATTTCTAGTCTTCTGTTTAATCTCTCTATAGCTTCAATCAAAACTCTGTTGGAATTGTCTGCTTCTGCCTTCAAACCTGCAATTATATTATTGTAAAATGCCTCAACTTCCTGTTTTTATTTAGCCATATTACTGTTATATTGTATTTCCATATTTTTAATTTTTTCATTGTACTTTGACTCAATTTCATGTTGGTATCTGACCAACACATTTTTATATGTAAAGTTTTCTCCTCAAAGTTCCAAATTTCTCTTTATATTGGGCTATTTCTTCATCTAAGCTAGAAATTTAATTTTTGATTTTCCAGATTCAACTTGTTATCAATCCTTTGAAGTCACTACGACAAGGAGGATTTTGTTCTAGACAAGTTATTTAGTTTTAAATATAGCTTTTTCAATTAACGTGACTTTTTTGAGATCATTCCTAATCCTTACATATCAACTTTTTAAATAAAAAATTAAAAAAATACGAGTTATATAATTTACGAATAAAATTTTCCATGAACAATATTAATATATTAAATAATAGTAATAATAATAATAATAAAACATTATCACATAAATATAATCCGTAAATTTAGTTTAACGGATGAACACATCAATAAAATACGTAAACAAAAAGCGGCATATGCGCTGATTTTGTTTGAACCCAAAATTCGGTATGTTATGATGAATACTTCATACTAGCAAAAACCCATTGGTTTGACGGGCTATTGAATAGTAAAATAGTTTTTTTTGGCGGAGCAATAAATTTTTTTTAGGGTTAATTATCATTCTACGATCAGTTCACACATTAAAAATCCTCGTGTTTAATGTCGAAAAAAGGGTCCAAAAAAACAAATCGGCTGATATGGAAGAATTTGTTAGAAAAACTAAAAAGTATTATTTAAAAATGAAACAAAGCTAGAAACGTTTTTTATAATTTAAAATTTTAAAAGTTTAAAGCAAAGTAAAGAAAGGACGAAGAGAAACGATTTTTAAAAGTCCGATGATTTCCAATTTGTTGTCTACAGGCTGAGCTTAAAACGACTCAACAAACAATGTGAGTACGTGTGTTCTGACGGGGTTTGAACACATATATATTTATCAAACAACACAAATTCCTTCAACATTTCACCTTATTCTAAATAACTCTACCTAAATTTAATAAACAACTCTGATAATAATATAATGGTTCTGATTTCATGCTCTCTAGGTAATATCCAGATCAGTCAACAATGTCTTTGATATAGTTATAATTGAGACTGAATAAACTTCATAGACTTTAATATTTTCAAGAGGAATAGCCTCATATAAAGTTAATTTGGATTTAATTGTCCCTTTGGTCATCAGTGGGGTATAGAACTCTGAGATTTCGATTATTGCTTTGGTATAAAACCAAGTTTAGTTTTTGTAAAAGTGTTAAGCCGTTTAGCAAAGTATAAAGTTATTAGTTAATCAAATATAAAGTGCTGACAGTTATTAACTAAAGTCGTTATCACATATTGTTATTGTAGTGGGTTAAAGCATTGTTGTAAACGTACGGCTGTTAAATAAGCAGTTTAAGGAGTCTTATAAAGAGACCAAACTAATAGAGCCTTTAATTGGCCAAAGAAAAGTAAATGTAGATAGAAAGAAACTTATAAAAAAGCTTTTGAACCTTGTAAGATAGCCATCTTTGCTTTATTTATTTACAGTTATCTGGCACTATTAACAGATTCGCAGATAAGAAAGGAGCAGCAAAAGTGAATTCGTAAACTAATTAATTGACAAGTACCAAACTATTGTATTGCTTGCAATTGACTAACAAGAGTAGCCCAAAAGTTAAGCCATACATGTTAAATAATCAGAATCAACCAAAAAGCCACCATTTAACAAGAATTAAAAAACTGTAAAAGTTTATTATAAGAAATATTATAAGAAATTAAATAAAGATAAAATAAAAGATAAATAATTATAACAATAAATTTATAGTGGGATTAAATTAATCATTCATCAATATCTTTCCCTTTACTATTATTACTAGAATCTAATATTTATTAATTAATTAAAAAATATTGTTGGTAATAATGGATAGCAATTTCCCAATTAATTAATAATAATGAAAATTTTATTCACCTTCAACATTTAAGGAAAGAGAGCTGAATCCAAAATCATTTGATGAACTATCATTACTTGTATAGTAATAACTTTTGAAGCTTTTAGATTTAGTAATCTCTTCATCTAATATTCTACTTGTATAATATACATCTGGATGTGACTTGTGTACTTGCTGTAAAACACTATTACTAATATCACTATTATTATTATCATCATTATTATTGAGAACTTTTTCCAATTTATTAGCAGCAAATCTAAAAATCCCTCGAATAGTTGGTCTTTTTGATGGATCCACATCCCAACACTTCTGCATAACTTGTGCATAATCATCAGGCATTCCTGGTAATATTGGTGGTCGTAAACCTTGTGCACATATATCAAAAATTAAATGATGATCATGAGCTCTGTCATCAAATGGTGGGTGACCTGCAAATATTTCCCACATTAACATCCCAACACTATAGATATCAGATTCTTTTGTGTTCTTTTTGCCTTGAAGTAGCTCAGGTGCAACGTATGATATAATTCCATAGACTTTATCTGATGATTTTTCATCAACTGGTCCACATAACCCCAAATCTGTAACATAACAATTACCTCCACTTATTAACACATTGCCACTGTGTAAATCACAATGGATTAAATCTTTTTGATGTATACGAAATAATGAATCACATAAATATCTAAAGATTGTAATTCTGTCTTTTAATGTTAAGTTTAAATGATTTTTTTTCAAATAATCCCTTAAATTTCCTTCTGGATGATAATTTAAAACCATTGCATAATTTCCACTATCTGGAAATTTAGTTATACCATAACAAGCAACTACCAACCCTGATTTAATTTTACAATAATTCATTGCCTGAAATTGAAAATAAAATCAATTAGTATTATATAATATAGTATTGTTTATTTTTGTTTTAAATGACAACTACCAACCTCATCAAAAAAGCCTTTTCCTGGATTACTTGAATCATTAAAACTTTTTAATGCTACTTTTTGCTTTCCATAATAATTAAACTCTTTTTTATTTTCATTGTAATCATTAATAGTTCCTCTTGTCCATATAGCAGTATAAATTGAACTAAATCCACCTTCAGTTAAATTTGTTACTTTTTCAAATTGCTCAAAAGGTATCCATTCCAAAATATAGTCTGGCAGAGATGATTTTATTTGACATTGTTGAATAAAATCATCAACTATGTTATTTCCAGATGTCCAAGTGGTGAAAAGACTCTGTAATTGTAAACTAATACAACCTTCACAGAATCTATCAGAGTATTTTGTTGACTTACACTTGTTACATTCTTTTGATTCACCTTCTTTATTTCTTGCATTTATTAATTCCAACTCATAAACAAACTTTTCTTTACAATATTCTTTTTCATTTTCTGAAAGCTCCTCATTTTTTGTGACTAATGAAAAAAAACAATCCTTTCTATTTTTTCCAACAGGATTAACCAGAGTATTATTATACATTCCAGCATAAAATTTAAATACAATTCTCTGTCTTTCTGGTAATATTAAATTATTATATGACATTATGTAAAAATACAAGATATAAATTGAATTGGTGTTTTAATGAATATGATGGGGGTTTTTTTTTTTTTTTTTTAATATAATAGTTGCGTTATTTCCTTAACATTATATATGTGTTCAGATTTTTGTTATAATATTTTTTTCTTGCCCAAATTTGAAATGTTTGGTTTCACGGGAAATATTATGTTGCTCTTAATGACTTGAAACGTTAATTCAGCGCAGTTACGGTAACAAATCACGAATCTTCTAGACATTTTTGTTGCCCAACTTTAGTAAACTGAGTTGTTGAGGATGAGATCAAAATAAAAGGGTAAAATTTTGTAGAGTCGTTTTTTCTTTTTTTTTTGCTGCAACTCGTAGTCAATAAATTATTCATAATATGTTCACGTGACCATAAATGAGATGATCGACAATTCTTTATAGTGAACGCTCACCAAAATTCTCAGTCCAGGGGGTTCGTTATAGAGAGCTTTGACTGTATCATCATAATTATCATATATTTACGTGTGTTATTAACTCTATTATTACTATTATATTTTTAGTTTATTGAAAGATAATATAACAGTTGATTTATAATAAGCAGACTAGGGGTTGGCATCGTTAACTGTTTAACTGCGGTTAACCGGTTAACTGCAATTAAACAGTTAACCAGTTAAGATATTCTTTTAGCCGGCTGACCATCATTTAATATTAATTTTTTTTATATATGGTTATTATTACAGTCAAACCTCGTCACAGCGGACCTCGCCGGCGGATTTCTTGTTATAACGGATTTAAATATTAATATTAATATTAATTAAAGTGTTTGTGATAACGGATTTTATTAATAAATTTGTTCTACAATGTTGACGGGTTTTTGATAGGGTCTTTCTATATGTACTAATCTCATCACAACAGATTCACGCAACATATAAATTTATGAAATTTGTCCAAATTATCGAAATTGATAATATAATTAGAAGAAACTGGATTCTCTGTTTGGAAAATGAAATATCTAATAATGAAATTGAAAATTCAAGAAATATAAAGAGATTTCAAATAGAGAAAAAAAAATGATGTTAATGATTTAATCAATCAATTATCATTTGCCCTTAATTAGAAGCAGAAGGATATATTACCATTGATTATTTTCAAATAAATAATGAAATGGTAACAGAAGAAGAAATAATTGCCTTCTTCAATCCAGAAGAAGTTGTTGAGAGCAACACAATATCGAAAGTTTCAACTAAAGATGCTGTAATTGCCTTTGAGACAACTTTTAATTTTCTTCAACAAGGTGATTTAGAAATAGATTATAAAGAATTTAAGCATTTAAATCATTGAAAAAAATGAAATTATTAGATAATGAAAACCAATACAACCAAATATTACATCTTATTTCCTAATACTAATTTTAAACGGAATAACGAGGGTTTATTATGTGGTAATGGCCTAGAACTAGGCCCCATAAATTATGCGCGCAAAGTTTCCTATTTCTTTTTCTTTTTCAAAATAATCAAAATTTCAATTAATAATAATAATGACAGAAAATCAAAAAACACGAAATTTTGCATGAATATTCTACAGAACCTAAGCCAAAAGCTATGTATACTTATTATGTGTGTTTTCGCGTAATTGATTCTCCGAAATTTTGATGTAAAGTCTATTTGAATCCTAAACAAAGATAAATTTAAAGTATATAAATATGGTTTATTTTGGACTGATGCATCAAAAAAAAAAAAGTCGTAACATTAAAAAACCATTTCCATGTAGCAGTATAAATTGAACTAAATCCACCTTCTGTCAACTTTGTTACTTTTATAAATTGCTCAAAAGGTATCCATTCCAAAATATAGTCTGGCTGAGATGATTTTATTTGTCATTGTTGAATAAAATCATCAACTATGTTATTTCCTGGTAAAAAGACTCTCTAATTGTAAACTAACGCAACCTTCACAGAATCTATCAAGTATTTTGTTGATTTACACTTGTTACATTCTTCTGGTTTTCACTTTTTATACAATGCATTGCTTAGACACAAGGAATGTGTGAGAATGACTGTAATGTGTTCAAGGTAGCGTGCGTGCCTTAACATCTGTAAAATCAAATGTTTCATATTTGAATTGTTACAGTCATGCTTGCCTTGACATGTAATTTAGAGTTGGCACCCGTAATGTAAAATTACGGTATTACGGTGTTGCAACTAACCGTAATGTTGTAATATTTATTATACAAATAAAAAAAGTATGATCCTTACTTTTCTAATTATATCATTTTTTTTCTCCTGCAAATATAATAATTAAAGATGACTGATAACAAAAATAAACTTGGTCTAAAATATAATGATATTTGGAAATATTTTACACGTGGTAACCATCTTGGTAATGGACATTACCAAGTTACTTTTAAGCCATGTTTGTCATTTTTTAAAGATGCCCGACCATATCTTTTACATTCTTATGTTCCCCAATGTTCAACAAATGAAGTAAATGAATTGCTTTTACAAAGTCAACATTTTCTAAACAAGGAAAAAGCCCTGAACATTCTGGACAACGTCATATTGATGGTTATTTTTGTTCAGTTGATTTAGAAGAATCACGTACAAAACAATCGATAAAGCTTTAGTTATTATGTTTATTATGTGTGCATTACCTTTTCGCCTTGTAGAAAACCCGTTTTTCATTAATTTTTTAAAAGTATTAAATCTTGGATACCAACCACCTTCAAGAAAAGCAATATAGACGAAAATGGAGATCCACATGTTTATTTACCGCAATTAGATGATGAATAGATAAACGAATTCAATTTTTTTGTGTTTATAAAAAATAATAATATTTTTAAAAGCGATCTAACCGCATCGTGTTTATGTCGCAACACTATGTATACTATGTAAATTTACGGGTATGTTGTAACATTGCAACATTTGATATTTGATTACGGGAGCAAGCTTAATGTAATTATATATTTATAATATTATTAACGATCACACAAAGCAAATACGATCGTTCTCCATCTTGATAATTACCTAGCAAGATTTGCTCCGCGATTAAATATTTATAATTTGTCATCGAAAAATATATAATCTTTGTACAACACCAAATACCAATAATAATAATAATATTTTTTTTTAGTGTTTGTCTTCTTTTTTTAAAAATAATAAGTGTTTATCATAAGAATGGTGGTGGTGGTTGTCGCCACTTGTCGTCACTCTAGAGATGGAGATAGTTGAACTGGAAAAAAGACTAAAGGAAAATACAAGTGGAGGTGAATATGATTCAAGTATGAAATTTATGATTAATATAAAAAATTTTATAATATTAAAGAAACAATATCGATCAATGATGCTGAATAATTGCCTCTATTTGGGAAAAAATGTATATATATTTTTTTCAATAGATGTCATTTGTATGGGTTGGAACTATTAATTTACATCCTTTTTTTTAAAATTTTGTTACATCAGGTTGTTAAAATATGCTTCTATCTCTTCACAATTACTTGCCATTTATCACCAGTCAAAAAAAGGGTATGCTGCAATATCTAATTATTTTATTATTTTACATCTTTTTTAAAATTTTGTTACATCAAGTCATTGGAATATGCTTCTATCTTTTCACAATTACTTGCCATTTATCACCAGCCAAAAAAAGGGTGGGTATGCATACTTAATATTACTTTAAATGTCTCTAATGCTGCAACATCTAATTATTTTATTATTTTATTATTTTAGATTGTTGATAAAAATTGGAATATTTGAATATAATAGTAATAAAAAATTTGATTTAATAAAAGAAAAACTAAACTTATATTTCAAGCATAATAAATAACAATAATGTATCAGATAATAATTGATCAACTTGGAAACTTAATAAGGAAATATACGTGGGTTGTACAAAAAGTTTTGGGAAGGGAAAATGCATAAATAAAAGACAGTTCCCATCTTTCAAACAAAAAAGGCAAATATTTTTTTGATTGCTAATTATTGAGATATTAAATTTTAAAGATTTTAAAGATTAACAACAAAAACAACTGAAAATTTTTTGTTATAAGATACATAACTTGATGATTTTAAGTGTAATAAATTTGAAATTCTTTTATTTAAATAACATTCTTCTCATCTTCCAAATAAAAAAAAGTTTACTTTCTTTTACCAGCTAGTTATTGAGATATTGAATTTTAAAAATTGTCAACATGTGGGACCCATTTTTTACAAATTTTATGAACTTTTAGTTCATTCTGTAAAATACTTTGAATACTTCCCCTAGAAATACCTATATTCTCTTCAATAGCTGTAATTGTCATATGAGGATCATCACTAATTAAATCATCAACTTTTGCAATGTTTTCAAGGGTGGAAGTTTCTTGAGGATGTCCAGAACATGAATCATCTTCAACATTGTTTTTTCCACTTTCAAATGCTTCAATCCAATGATAAATAGATGCTAAAGATACTGCATTAGACCTCTCAGCAACCTGTAATTCCTGTTGAATTTGTTTAGCTGGTTTGCTATTTTTCCAGCTAACAAAAATGTAGTATCTTTGGTATTCACGTTTTGAATTTTCCATTTGTTTTTAATGGCAAACTTTAAAAATTTATAACTTAACAACAAATGACTCAATTTGAATGATTTTTTTTCAGTAGTCAAATTATCTAATTCTTCTTGTTTTATACTATTTATTTTTTTGAATAAGGGAAAACAAATATAATTCATAAAGTGTATATATTTTTAAATTTAATAATTTAATAGCAGTGAAATAAGATTTAAATTGAGTCAATACTTTTTTTCTGAAATTCAAAAGATACAAATTATGATTCTTTTCTAAAATATTGAAGTAATGACACACATATTGGAAAAATCTGTACAAGAAAAATTATCCGGAAACTCTTTTTTTCCAGAAGTTAAAATTTTTTAAAGGAAAATCCGGATTTTTAAGGTATTATTTCCAGCCCTGGTTGCAACGCAATTAATTGAGGAGCCATATTTCTAATCTTCATCTTAAAACATAATAATAAATATATATTTGATTTTGATCAATAATAATTCTTTTGTATGTATGAGTGAACATCATGATGTGATAATATATTATAAAGAATTTACCAAAGTTTTTAACAATCTTGACTTGACTCGTGGTTGTGAAACTTAAATAGATAGAATCTTTAGGTCTGTCGTGCATGAAAATGAATATTATTATTATTAATTATGCGCCCGAATTTTTTACTAATGATAAAAATAAATAGAGAAAAATGCACCATCGCCTCCAAAGAAAGAGTATATAAGGGAAATGAATTCTTCATTAAAAATGAGTACAGAAGAAATCAGAGCATTATTGCCTTCGGGAATTGACATTATGCCTTATTCATTGTTTTGTTTATTCTTTACTGTTGATATTCTAGATATTATTGTATAAAATACAAATATTTATGCTGACGAAAAAGGTGCTGGAGCTGGAAAACGATGGGATGCTCTTGAATTAAGTGATTTTAAAATTTGGTTGGGAATAGTAATATATTCAGGAATTTTTAAATTACCATCAATGAGAGATTATTGGAAAACTTCTGATAAATATCCACAACATAAAATTACTGAACACATGTCTTTAATCAAATTCGAGCAAATTAAAAGATATTTTCATGTCTCAGATCCAACTGAAAACATTCAAGAAAATACTCCATGGTATCACAAAATCGAACCACTTGCATCATCTATTTTAAATAGTTGCATGAAATATTACCTTCCTTCCTCAAATTTATCAGTTGATGAATGATTATTAGATTTTCTGGTAGAAGTCCTCATACTATTAGAATGAAAAATAAACCTACTCCTGAAGGATATAAAGTATTTGCTTTGTGTGATGCAGGGTATACATATAATTTTATGTTCACATCAAGAATTAAAAAGAATTCATTTATTCAAAATATACCAGGAGTGAGTCTAACAGGATGTGAAGTTTATCATTTATTAAAAGAATTGCCAATTGGTAAATCTTTTAACATTTATATGGACAACTATTTTAGTAGCATAAATTTATTTAATTATTTACATGAAAAAAAAATTGGTGCATGTGGTACTGTACGTAAAAATTCTTCCAAATTTCCAAATGTTCTGAAGACTGATAAAAAATTAGATTGGGACACACTTAGTGGAGTTGTTGTGGATGATGTATTATCAATTTTGTGGATGGACAATGGCCCAGTAACAATGTTGACTACAATCCATGAAATTACTGGTGCAGAAAATAGAGTAGAAAAAATACGTCGTTGTCCAAGGATCACAAGTACAAATGCAGCAAAAGTCAGACAAGTATTTGGAAATGCAGTTAAAAAATCTCTCCCAATTCCAAAAGTAATAGATGATTACAATGCTCATATGGGTGGTGTAGACATAGCTGATCAATTATGTGGTTATTATGCTACTCAATTGACAGCCAGGAGAACTTGGATACTGATGTTCTTTTGGTTACTAGATACTGTAATTGTTAATTGTTTACTTAATTCAGAAAAATTGCAATGGAGATTTGGATCACAAAGATTTTAGAATAAACTTGGCTTGGGATTTAATTAATTCTGGTTTGGATGAAAAAAATGATATTAATATTAGAAGTTCAAGAAGTACTTCAAGAAGCAATTCAAGAAGTACTTCAAGAAGCAATTCAAGAAGTACTTCAAGAAGTATTTCAAGAAGTATTTCAAGAAGCAATTCAAGAAGTAATTCAAGAAGTAATTCAAGAAATGATAGAGCAATTTACATAACAACAAGTAACCTTGCTTTACCTACAGAAAGATTAAGGCTTGGTAGGCATTTTCCTGGAATGGGTAAGAGAAAAACTTGTGTGTGGTGCAGATACAAAAGACAAAAAGAAGGGAAAATTTTCAGGTAATGAATTAAAATCTGTAGTTTACTGCAGTTTATGTAAAGTTCCACTATATTTCAAGGATAATAGAAATTGTTTTACAGATTTTCATACACTAGAAATATAATAAATTAAATTATCCAACATCTGTCTGTTCAATTAATTTTATAAAAAAAATATAAAACATATTAAAATTTATTTATATATAATAATAATAAAAATATTAAAAATAATAAAATGATAATAATTAAAAAATAAATATTGTTTTGATTTAAATTAACATTCAACTCCTTCACCAACTTTGTTTTCACTTCATTCTCTATCTCTTCTTTCACCTCTCCTTTCAACTTTTCCCTCAAAGCCTTTCTTTCTTTTAAATGTCTGAGAACTTTTTTATGTTGTAGATCTTCAATGAAGCAAATTAGGTCATCATCATATATGCTATTTTCATCTGATATGATGATATTAGATGATGCCAACTTAGCTTCTGTGCTCATTTGTTTACCTATTTGGTGTTCGGAATTAACGACTAATATACCAACTGAGGTATGTAGCCATTACACCTTTTAATTCACGAACAGCTTGAGGGAAGGTCTTGCTGTGCTATAAATTAAAAAAAACCATTAATAATATAGTTAATAATATATTTAATAATATATATATTCATATTAAATAACATGATTACTTTGCATTGGACAACTAGGACATATCTTTCACCCTCATAAACAAATGATCCTATTAAGTCAATTCCTCCATTCCCGGAATGCCTAGAAAATAATAATAATAATATAAAAAAAAATAAGTTTTGTTTCATCATTATCAAGAAGCAAAATAAACGTTCACAACAGGTCGTCCACCACATCAGGTCTAGTTACCCAACTGGTAACTTTCACAAGTTGTGGCCACGAAGCGCTTTCAATTTCTTTTCATTTAAATCCTAGTAGCAGCGTAACTTCAGATATATAATAATTCGACAATTACTTAGTGAGCAAAAAATACTCACTCTGTTCTCACAAGATTTATTCTATATTTGTTCAGCAAATTTTTAATTTCCAATTCAAATTTTTTTCCTTTAAAAACAGACATAATTGAATTTACAAGGAAATGAAACATTTTACAAATTGAATTCATATATACAAAAATTAAAATAACAAAAAAAGGCACACACACACGTTCTTTTATATTTTTAGTCAAAAAAAAACAAGATGAAAAAAATCTTGAAATACCCAAACACAGACCACAACTTACCAATTCGAGTTAAAGCAAAATTCGCAGTTCATCACAAATGTGCACAAACGAACCGAAGCAGGATTTTTAAAAAACAGAAGTAGTTTAGTTTTTTTTTGATTTTTTTGTGCACAATAAATTTTGTGATACATTTAAATTTGAAATTTCGTGTTACCAATAAAAAATCCGAAATTTATTAGTTAACCGTTTAAGGGATAATTTTCTTAATTCCTGATAAATTTCAAAACGTAGATTAAATACGTCCATTCTGTATCTAAAAATTTATTCCGTATCAAATATATGGAAATTCTTATACATTCCGTATGTTTATTTTCTATAGGGCAACATCTCAATATGTTCTTCATGGTTTCTTGCTTCAGAATTCTTTAGCAAAAACAAACTTACGTTCATTATATGTTAACCAAAGATGAGGAAAAAACAATGCCTGAACATTTTCCACAATAAGCTCTGCATCAATTCCTTTTGGATTGTGGACATTTTTATTAATGTGTAGATTATCAAATGGAACTGCTGGTAATTCTGGAACTGCTTTTAATAAGATAGTTTGAAAGTGATGAACATCTGAAGATGTTGTTGTATCACCATGTCGTATAGTATGGATGTTATGATAATCATCAAAATTGGCCACCATAAAATCATCCATCTACATCAAATTCATTAAATTAAATTACAACTAAGTTAAAATTCATAAGCATTATCCTTGCATGTTCTAATACAAAGGAGCTAACAGTATCATTATGAGTATTTTCTTGCTTTTTTTTATGCCTCATTACTGTCTCACGTCTAATGCTTATACCTGCTCCTGCAAATGTTTCAATTGCTGAAGATGATGCACCTGCACCATCTAATATGTATCCAATTTCAGCTTTAATTCCATTGATGAGTTTATTATTCAAACCTGCCAGAAAATAACTAATCTTTTTTTTATTTTTTTCATTAGTCATATTATTTTTATCTTTTGGGTTTGTTCCAGAATAAAGTTGATTAAAGAAACCTTTTAATGCTGGTTCAGCTGCTTCCAATGTTTTATTAAATTCAGGTTCTAAAATGAGTTTTTCATTATTCACCATCTGTCTTATATACAATACACCTGCCATTAGTTTGTTTTTTTTATTAAGAGGTGTCATTTCTAAAATAAAGTAAATAAGCTAGTTAAATATAATTATTGACAATAAAGTAATTTATCAATTTATTAAAAAAAAAATTTTTCAAGATATATTTTGTTCAATAATAATAAATATTATTATTATTAATAATATAATGGTATGTAAAAATTAGAATGATAATTAATTATTTACCTAGTTTTGCTTTGTCAAGTTCTGCATACACTTCATGATATGCAGACTCTAATTGTTGAAATTCTGCCTCAGAATAAAAAATATCATCAAATAAAACATATGTTCTATTTTGAAATTTCTGAATATTTTCATTTTAACATTTTTTGAGTTGGCAATTGATAATCAGGTGAATCTAAATATTCCGGATCATTATCAGTCTTATACAAACAGTGATGACATATCATTGTTGTCTCTGATAATTTAAAATAATTAATTAATTGTCTAGATGCTTTTAGGAATGTAATTTTTTCTTCTTTTTGTGCTGTAGAAAGATAAATATCATGCTTGGGATGTGAACAAGTGTTAGTTATTTTGATTTTTTAGCATTAAAATTAATTTATAATAATGTCTTCTACATAATGCTTTTTCGATCAAATTTAAATGTTTGTTAATATCTGGAATAGTGACTTTTATCAGATACTATAAAAGCATTATTAATTTTAAAATCACAGATAACATCAGCTTGGCCTTCTAAATCACAATATTGTACCTTTCTCCTTTTATCTTTACATCCGCTACTAGAAGATGTTTGAGATAAGTTTTGTTTGACATCCATTTTCTGTAAGGTGTGTTGCTTAAATGTAGTTATATATTAAATTATATACATATGTAAACTCGATTTTTACTATTTAAAAAAATTTGATAAATCAGTTGATCTATATAAAGTCACAATAAGCGCCAATTCGGTCAATCACTTGCCCAAGTATAATTAAATTAATCATGCATGATAAGTCGGCCTCACGTGATATTTCATTATGTGAAGGGTCATAATTACTATTTTAGTAATGTGTGATTTAATATTAGCAAAATGATTATTTGTAATAAAATATCTGATGTAAGAGAACTTCTTTTTGCTTTAATCATTTGATGATTTATCATGAATAATGCATTAATATTTTATTATCTCAGCAGTTGTATCATCGATTGTATCATTCATTTATCATAAATATATTATTATCTCATCAGTTATTTCTGTAATATAAAAGGTGGGCTTGAAGTATACTAGCATCCCAATTTGACTGTGTGTGTTAAACCAGCATCACAGCGCTTGACAATCTGAACAGGACATCATTGTTATAGGTCAGGTTGTTGTTGAAATATCATGTTCGATGTTGGCCATCTTTTACCTGCTAGTACTCATTACTGTGGGTGAAGGTGGGCTTGGAAGCAGATACCCAAGTTGACTATCACGTTAAACCACATTACAGTGCTTGAAATTCTGAATGAGTGATATAACTATTCCAGGTCAAGTCGTTGATGAACTATCATGTTCGATGTTGGCCACCACATCACATCACAACGTTCAACAATTTTGATGTACTCAATTGTTTACACATGCTGGTCGTATATTAATTTTTACACATTTTGTTATGTTAGAATGAGGTCAATGGAGAACGTGTTAGTTGTTTTTGGTATGCCATCATCCAGGAAAAGCAGAAGGTAGGTATCATATTGTCATTGATTCTCATCAGGTTTTCTGTCTTTCGTCAAACTTTTTTCTTCCACTTCCAAGTTAAAGCTAACAGTCTTTAAGAATGAAAAGAATATTTTTAAAAAGAAGAAATATGTGATGATCGAACGTGTGGCATTTCAGCATATATCTCTACCTTGTTAAACATAGCATTATGCCCTTCTTTCCTCTTCTAATTAGTGCTACGCTTTACTAGGCCGAGTTGTTGTGTACCACAGCCCAGGAAGCTGGATCCCAATCGAAGGTGATTCAGCAAGAAATTGCGAGATCATACGTAAGTGAAGGCCTAATACTATACAACGTATATCAGTTCAACATTATTACATGGGAAGATGATGAAGAAAATGAAAGTTCACTATATGATACTTTCCCAATACACATCCATAAACGACCAGAATCGAATCCCATTTATAACCCAATCGGTACTTTTGCCACCAACAACCGTCTGATCTGCATTATATTCATTGTCGCCCTCTTCTTCTGCGTCATAACCGTGCTTGGTTCCTTTTGAGCCAGCTATAAAAGGATTCGTATCAGGGAATGTCTCACAAAATATCAGCTGGAAAAGAACCCGCCAAAAACGAGATCGGAATATTACAATGTCATATTCTTCAATGGTAACAATAAAGATGGTTTCTTGGGAACATTAAATGAAAATATTGTAGAGCAAATGCTCAATGATCTATGAAGGAAGGAGAAAAAAATAGAAGACGATACGGAGCATTATATTAAGTTGCTCCTGGACAACATTATTGATCGCGATATCAAAAAGACCAAAGAGAAGCTTAAACAACAGAAAGATGATGATGATATTACTTCATTTGAGAAGTAATTTGCATTGAATCTCGTGGGT